AAATTACAGCAAATCGAGAAGATTGAAATACTGCTAGTTTTTAATTAGACTGCCTTTTTCATCATGCTAGGCTAGCTAATGCATTGGATTAGAAACTGTAACGTGTACGCTGGGAGTCGGGAAGCAAGTACAGGGAGTGAATTTAATAATAACTGAAACATGGTCCAAAACAAGAAACACAAGCAGTGAAACCCCAGGAACATAATCAATAACGCCTGGGGAAAGAACCAAAGGGAGTGACAGATATAGGGGAGGTAATCAGGAGGGTGATGGAGTCCAGGTGAGTCTCATGAGGCGCAGGTGCGCGTAACGATGGTGACAGGTGTGCGTAATAATGAGCAGACTGGCGACCTCGAACGCCGGAGAGGGAGTATACATGACAGAAACAGCTGCAAAATTATTATTCTTCATGACTGAGATTAGCCAAACAGCCTTGTGTCCACTTGCCCGCCTGAGCCATGAAGCAAATTAAAATAGGTGGTGCAAATTTAAGTTTTTGCATCTCCACTTCATTTTTACCAGAAAATTCTCATAATCCATTGGATAATTTGTAAATGTTCACTTATTTTTGAGCTGGTATGTATAAAAAATATAAATTAACATTCTATAAATGGTATAATTGCGTGATAAGATAGCATTTTGCAAACCTGCTCGCCCCACTGAATCAAGATGAATGGTTTTGACCACTAAAGTTTTGCTTCATGCTCCACTGCTTTGATTGGTGTAACATCAGCTAGAAACCACAAGTGCTTATCCAGATAATGCGTAAACTCCACATAGTTGTTTTCGGTAGGTGTTATTGAGTAGGCTGATACCCCATGTCATGGGTGCACAATCCATAGGTTAGGCAGTACAATATGAATGTCCAATACACACAAAAGACTGACTGGTAAGGTGATTTCCCATAGTCAAAGACCTGCAATAAGACGCTAATATTTGTGTAAACTCTACATAGTTGTTATCTGTGGGTGTCACTGAGAGTAGGCTGATACATTTCATGGGTGCACAATCCATAGGTTAGGCTGTAAGGTGCATATAAGCAGTGGTGACCCGTCATTCAGGGCAGGTGGGGCGGAATTTTCTTTGGGGGGGTTGCCTGTTTTGCATGTTCTTTTGGCATTAATATGTGTTGGCAAACAATGTAAAAAAAATAATAAATAACAATTGAGTTAATAAAGCCGCATACAAACATGGTCTCTTTTTTGCTTTCTTGAGTAAGGCAGCTCCAAAATGCAGGTGTTTCCGCCTATACATTTACATTTTAGTCATTTAGCAGACGCTCTTATCCAGAGCGACTTACAGTTAGTGAGTACATACATTTTCATACTGGCCCCACGTGGGAAACGAACCCGCAACCAACTGAGCTACACAGGGCCCTATCTCAGCGCTTTCTGTGGTGGTGGGGCAGCCAGTGGAAAATACGGAGCGTAGGGGTTGGTAATGTTCTCTAGTTGCGCCGTGATTGGCTCAGTGTTCTGTCACTCATGGGGACACTATGTCGCCGCCAAATCTAAGGGTAGAGTTTAAAAATTCAAGCCCCTTGGGTGCTGCCATAGAGTTACATTAGAAGTGCCCATTCAAGAAGGCTCAAGGTCATTGGCCACAGATAAAATTATGTTAAATCACATTATATCTACCGTAGCTTTGATTGGACTGATCATGTCAACATCATACTTTCACAATCTTAGCTAGCAGTCATCATCATGAATCAAGTCGACAATCTACTGGCAAATCCTTTTTAATCCTTGTCATATGAAGAGAAATAATGAAGAGAAATTATAGATAAAACGTATCGGTGCTTATCAACCATTGGACATAAACATTACACAACAAGTTGGAAATCACATATTAAAAAATGAGTGGTTTGGAAGGAATCAGTGGCTAACTGCAAGCATTGCAAAGCAATCACTAACCTGCTATTCAGTGGAGTGGCTGTGTGGTCCCAAGTCTGTGTTTAAGGGTCTCTTTTCCAAGCTTAAAATTATAAACATTCAACATTGGCCATGCTGTCAATCCAGCATGATTACTGCCGCGCTCAAAACAACTGTTAACTCGGAACTGGGAAATCTGACTTCAGTGAGTTCAAGACAACTGGGAACTCAGGGAAAAAACTAGCTCCAACTGGGAAAATACGTTTTGAACGGTCATCCAACTCGGAATTGTAAGTCGGGAATTTGGGGCTCTTTCTAGAGCTACGACCTGAAGATCACTGACGTCATCATTATTCAAGTTGTCTTGAAAGCACCATAAATCCAGAGAATGCCAGACTTTGATGACAAAGTTTGATGACAACATTTTCCCACGAAGGACCGCCGCGCCACCTTTCTGTTCAAGTGAGCACAGCACAACAAGGTGAGTCCAAAAATGCATAAATGATGTAATATGCCAGGGAGATATGTACAGTGGGGGAAAAAAAGTATTTAGTCAGCCACCAGTTGTGCAAGTTCTCCCACTTAAAAAGATGAGAGAGGCCTGTAATTTTCATCATAGGTACACGTCAACTATGACAGACAAATTGAGGGAAAAAAATCCAGAAAATCACATTGTAGGATTTTTAATGAATTTATTTGCAAATTATGGTGGAAAATAAGTATTTGGTCACCTACAAACAAGCAAGATTTCTGGCTCTCACAGACCTGTAACTTCTTCTTTAAGAGGCTCCTCTGTCCTCCACTCGTTACCTGTATTAATGGCACCTGTTTGAACTTGTTATCAGTATAAAAGACACCTGTCCACAACCTCAAACAGTCACACTCCAAACTCCACTATGGCCAAGACCAAAGAGCTGTCAAAGGACACCAGAAACAAAATTGTAGACCTGCACCAGGCTGGGAAGACTGAATCTGCAATAGGTAAGCAGCTTGGTTTGAAGAAATCAACTGTGGGAGCAATTATTAAGAAATGGAAGACATACAAGACCACTGATAATCTCCCTCGATCTGGGGCTCCACGCAAGATCTCACCCCGTGGGGTCAAAATGATCACAAGAACGGTGAGCAAAAATCCCAGAACCACACGGGGGGACCTAGTGAATGACCTGCAGAGAGCTGGGACCAAAGTAACAAAGCCTACCATCAGTAACACACTACGCCGCCAGGGACTCAAATCCTGCAGTGCAAGACGTGTCCCCCTGCTTAAGCCAGTACATGTCCAGGCCCGTCTGAAGTTTACTAGAGTGCATTTGGATGATCCAGAAGAGGATTGGGAGAATGTCATTTGGTCAGATGAAACCAAAATAGAACTTTTTGGTAAAAACTCAACTCGTCGTGTTTGGAGGACAAAGAATGCTGAGTTGCATCCAAAGAACACCATACCTACTGTGAAGCATGGGGGTGGAAACATCATGCTTTGGGGCTGTTTTTCTGCAAAGGGACCAGGACGACTGATCCGTGTAAAGGAAAGAATGAATGGGGCCATGTATCGTGAGATTTTGAGTGAAAACCTCCTTCCATCAGCAAGGGCATTGAAGATGAAACGTGGCTGGGTCTTTCAGCATGACAATGATACCAAACACACCGCCCGGGCAACGAAGGAGTGGCTTCGTAAGAAGCATTTCAAGGTCCTGGAGTGGCCTAGCCAGTCTCCAGATCTCAACCCCATAGAAAATCTTTGGAGGGAGTTGAAAGTCCGTGTTGCCCAGCGACAGACCCAAAACATCACTGCTCTAGAGGAGATCTGTATGGAGGAATGGGCCAAAATACCAGCAACAGTGTGTGAAAACCTTGTGAAGACTTACAGAAAACGTTTGACCTGTGTCATTGCCAACAAAGGGTATATAACAAAGTATTGAGAAACTTTTGTTATTGACCAAATACTTATTTTCCACCATAATTTGCAAAGAAATTCATTACAAATCCTACAATGTGATTTTCTGGATTTTCTTTTCTCATTTTGTCTGTCATAGTTGACGTGTACCTATGATGAAAATTACAGGCCTCTCTCATCTTTTTAAGTGGGAGAACATGCACAATTTTTGGCTGACTAAATACTTTTTTTCCCCACTGTATACTGTAGCAAAGAAAGTAATACTAAGTGTATGTTGTGTAGTAAGCTGTTAGTAGCCCATGTGCCTCACCCTAATAATTTGGTCTATTTACCCCTCTTAATTTCGCCTACTGTTCTAACTTGGTGGTGCACATGTAGCCTATAACCTGTTTTAGAGAAATGTAATCATCGAATATTGTAAGAGCTTTCATTGTCTGCTTATATGCCCCCTTTATTTATCCTACGGTTCTGACTTGGTGTACAGGTAGAACACTGTAAGAACGGCCCATGTTCTGAATTCTGTCGCTGTACATTTCAAAAGTGCTGAACAAATAGTTATATTCACTACGTCCGTCCTAGCTCGCTCATTAATGTCAATCGAAATTATGAATTGCCTCTTATCCGCTTGTCGTTCCCTTATGCCATAGTTTGTACATCTCAATTGTCAGTAGAAACTACATTTGTTTAAGGAAGTCAGCCATATCAGCTATGTTTTTTTTAAAGGCAGTAAATGAGGCTGAATGAACTGTTTCGCTGCCAGACAAGGCTCCGCTGATAGCGAGGTGTAGCAGTGGTAAGGTGGACTGCTGTTGGGACTCTGCTGTTGGAACAGCTTTATGTAGGCACTAACAGTTTGTGGGCACCGTTTGTCACTGTTATAGTGCAATTACTGTATTGTTTAGTGTTGTGTTGTGGTTGTGCATGCATCCCAATTGTTATTTACTTTTTGCCCCACCAAGATTTACATGCTAAAATCGCTGCTAAAATCGCCACTGCATATAAGTATGCCCCCAATGCAATTCTGAAATGAAATACATCCACAGTGCAATTTAAATTGATTCAAATTAACCAATAATTGTCTTTTGATTAATTTATATTACAACATTCCAAACTTGTTTAGCATTATCTAGTCCAATTGTGGCATGTTTTCACTATTTGCATCGGTTTGCATCAGTTTCAATTGAGGACTTTTATTCTGAAGGCGAACCGCGGATTCCACTATTGTTGTTTACGACACACACATGTTGTTATCATGGCTACGTCAGAGAGCGTTGTCCTACAAAATGCCAAATATTAAACAACTTTAAACAGGACAAACGATACCGTGTTTATCCTTTGAATTCACACAGAAGACGGTTATTGGTTTATCTTTAAAACCTGGACGAAAAAAGGTCGCGCGACGATTGTGTACTAAAAACTAAAATAGCTAGTAGCTAGCTAGCTACTGTAGCTAGCTAACGTTAGCCCTAGGTTACGAAGTCAAATATCTACATAAAGTTACTGCATGAAGTTGCTTAACAAGGACAAAATGTCTAGCCTTAACACTCACAGTATTTTTGAGACAGAAACAACATCGATTATGGCTTTTGTCGTTGAGACGGCGGTAGTAGAAATTAGCCAACTGTTTTTGGACAAGGAATCAATCGTGGCGACAAACCCAAGTAACCTGCGGGAAAAGGTGAGCAACGTTGTTCAATCTTACAGAGATTGTCATTGTTTGTTTAGCTAATTAACTAGCGTTAGTTTGGATCTTGTGAGTCTGACTGCCCCCAATTACACCAGGGGTGTATTGTTAAATAAAAGTATGTATTACAGTGTCTGTAATTAAGAAAAATTAAGGATCTTCCAAAACCAGTAGTTGTTGAAATAAACATGTAGCTCACTCCTCTACCCTACAAAGCAACACAGTGTTGATTACTATAATGTAAAGCTGGAGAAGTGAATGCATGATCCCATAATGATGATCAATTGAAGATCAATCTGGTGTAAAGTTACTCCCCCATGAAGCCAGTACAAAGAAATTGCAAGAGTCAAGTACAATAAATGTTTCTTAGTACAATAAACCTACGAGCTGGTTCACTCAGACTGTAAAACACTCTGGGTTCACTTATGGCCTTTTTGCATACAGTACCAGTCAAAAGTTTGGACACACACACTCATTCAAGGGTTTTTCTACATTGTAGAATAATAGTGAAGACATAAAACTATGAAATAACACATATGGAATCATGTAGTAACCAAAAAAAGTGTTAAACAAATGAAAATATATTTTATGTTTGAGATTCTTCAAATAGCCACCCTTTGCCTTTTATGACAGCTTTGCACACTCTTAGCATTCTCTCAACCAGCTTCACCTGGAATGCTTTTCCAACAGTCTTGAAGGAGTTCCCACATATGCTGAGCACTTGTTGGCTGCTTTTCCTTCACTCTGCCGTCCGACTCATCCCAAACCATCTCAATTGGGTTGAGGTCGGGGGATTGTGGAGGCCAGGTCATCTGATGCAGCACTCCATCACTCTCCTTACACATCCTGGTAGTGTGTTTTGGGTCATTGTCCTATTGAAAAACAAATGATAGTCCCACTAAGCCCAAACCAGATGGGATGGCGTATCGCTGTAGAATGCTGTGGTAGCCATGCTGGTTAAGTGTGCCTTGAATTCTAAATAGATCACAGACAGTGTCACCAGCAAGGCACCCCCACACCATAACACCTCCTCCTCCATGCTTTACGGTGGGAACTACACATACGGATATCATCCGTTCACCCACACTGCGTCTCACAAAGACACAGCGGTTGGAACCAAAAATCTCAAATTTGGACTCCAGACCAAGGACAAATTTCCACCGGTCTAATGTCCATGTTTCTTGGCCCAAGCAGGTCTCTTCTTCTTATTGGTGTCCTTTAGTAGTGGTTTCTTTGCAGCAATTCGACCATGAAGGCCTGATTCACACAGTCCCTTCTGAACAGTTGATGTTGATGTGTCTGTGACTTGAACTCTGTCAAGCATTTATTTGGGCTGCAATTTATGAGGCTGGTAACTCTAATGATCTTATCCTCTGCAGCAGAGGTAACTCTGGGTCTTCCATTCTTGTGGCGGTCCTCATGAGAGCCAGTTTCATCATAGCGCTTGATGGTTTTTGCGACTGCTCTTGAAGAAACTTTAGTTCTTGAATTTTTCAGTATTGACTGACCTTCATGTCTTAAAGTAATGATGGACTGTCGTTTCTCTTTGCTTATTTGAGCTGTTCTTGCCATAATATGGACTTGGTATTTTGCCAAATAGGGCTATCTTCTGTATACCCCCCCTACCTTGTCACAACACAACTGATTGTCTCAAATGCATTAAGAGGGAAATACATTTCACAAAGTAACTTTTAAGAAGGCACACCTGTTAATTGAAATGCATTCCAGGTGACTACCTCATGAAGCTGGTTGAGAGAATGCCAAGAGTGTGCAAAGCTGTCATAAAGGCAAAGGGTGGCTATTTGAAGAATCTCAAATATAAAATATATTTTGATTTAACACTTTTTGGTTACTACTTGATTCCATATGTGTCATTTCATAGTTTTGATGTCTTCACTATTATTCTACAATGTAAAAAATAAAGAAACCCTTGAATGAGTAAATTTGTCCAAACTTTTGACTGGTAGTGTATATCATGTCATGTAGTACTAGGCTGGCTGCTAATGTTAACTACATTCATTGTCAATGCACGATATTTGTTCAACACCTGTGATTGGACTGTTAGAAAATCCATAAGAACAGCAGTTAAATTGTACACATATCACCACTTCATCCGTGCTTAATAACAACAACATTGGGTTATCGTTTTGTAAGCTAGTTAGCATACACAGACATTTGCTTACATGCATTGCTATGGTTACACAGTACCACAAGCTGTCAAAATAGACCAAAAAGTACATTTTCTACACAAATCATTTAGATACTGAAATGTTTTCCCACATCCCTTGAATTGGTGCTTGCTGCATCCATATCCGCGCGTTGTTGCCACGGTTTTTTAATGTGGGGATATAGTTTTTCCCTGATTCACTTCCATTAATCAAAGCTCCGAAAGGAGGAGTATGATAATGGCGGCCCGGTGACTTCAAAGGCTCTTACTGGCTAAGACGGTGTCAGCTGTCCAGGGTTTCTATACGTCATTGGTCCCTCCCCGTTTTGTACTGTTTCCTTCTGTTTGGTTCGTTTGGTCTCTAGTAAATACACCCTAGGGAAGGGGTGACAAACTCATTTTAGCTCAGGGGCCACATGGAGGAAAATCTATTCCCAAGTGGGCCGGACCGGAAAAATCATGGTGTGTGTGTATGTATATATATATATATATATATCTTAAACAACAACTTCAGATTGTTTTCTTTGTTTTAATACAATCAACATACAACATAAAGCTGGAGCCTGAGGACAGTGTGTCCAAAATAGTACAAGCACAACATCACTATTAATCATAAAACACGTCAAGTTTATTTGAAAATTCTAAAGAAAAAGAACACACAAACACACAATGCCTCAGTGATTAACAGAACTGTTTCACAGATCACAGAACTATATCAGGGTGTCATTTCTCAGGCAGAAATGTAAATAAAAATAATGAAATCCTGTTCCCCAAACAAGTGCAAGAACCACAGAGTCAAGAATAGGTTAAATATACAAATAAAATAAAAACAATTAAAAACAATAGCACATCAACATAAAAACATATAAACATAAATCTGAAAGCGTTGCTCAAACTCCCGTAACAGTCCCGTTATTTTATATTTGAACCGCTTCATGTCTGCGACATGTTGAGTCGCGCACACATTTTTCAGACAGGGGAAGTGAGCTGCATCACCACCGGCAAGTTGCGTCTCCCACAATGACAGCTTCAACTTGAAAGAACGTATGCTGTCATAATACTGCGTGACAACTTTGTTGCGCCCTTTCAGCTGTTTGTTCAAGTTATTCAGGTGCTCTGTAACATCCACCATAAATGCAAGGTCCTGCATCCATTCTGCGGAATGAAATTCTAACACTGGTTTGCCCTTTTCTTCCATGAACTGTTCAATTTCTTCTCGTAAATCAAAGAAACGCCTCAGCACAGCACCTCGGCTTAACCATCTTACCTCAGTGTGGTATGGCAGGCCATAGATGTGGTCTTTCTCTCTGAGAAGGCTGTCAAACTGACGGTGATTCAGGCTTCTGGATCGGATGAAATTAACAGTTTGGATGACCACCTTCATGACGTTATCCATCTTTAATGACTTGCAACACAAAGCCTCCTGGTGCAAAATACAGTGAAAAGTCCAAAAATCTCGTCCTCCATTTGCAGATTGCACTTTCTCTCTGAACTTTGTCACAACGCCTGCTTTTTTTCCCGATCATTGAGGGCGCACCATCTGTAGCCAGGCTGACAGCGCGGGACCAGTCCACTCCGACCCTGTCCAGCGCGCCGACGAGTGCGGTAAAAATATCAGCTGCTGTCGTTGTATCTGTCATCGGCACCAACTCCACGAACTCCTCGGTGACGGTCAATGTGTCATCAACTCCGCGGATGAAAATGGCCAGTTGTGCAACATCTGTAATGTCCGTGCTTTCATCAATTGCAACCGAAAACGCAATAAATGACTTTACTTTTTGCTTCAACTGGCTGTCCAAATCCACTGAAAGATCGGAAATCCTGTCTGCAACTGTTTCTTGTCAGGCTGATATTTGCAAAAGCCTGCCGCTTTTCAGGGCACACAATCTCCGCTGCCTTCATCATGCATGTTTTTACAAATTCACCCTCACTAAATGGTTTTGAAGCCACTGCGATTTCATTAGCAATGAGGTAGCTAGCTTTCACTGCAACGTCACTGATGTCTCGGCTGTGAGTAAACACAGACTGCTGTTTCTTCAGACCCGCCAACAGTTCATTCACCTTCTCTCATCTCCGCTGTCCTTGAAAGTTGTCATATTTGTCGGCATGAAGACTCACATAGTGGCGACGAAGGTTATATTCTTTCAGCACTGCAACATGCTCTGAACACACCAAACATACAGCTTTCCCATTCAATTCCGTGAATAAATAGGATGACCATTTTTCTTGGAACACTCTGCACTCTGCGTCCACTTTTCTCTTTTTTGACAGAGACATATTGGGGCAATGAGGGTGCCAAAGCACATAATGTTAAAAGTAGAAGCCGTAATAAATATCGCGGGCAAAACAAAGTAGCTCATTGGCTGCACGTGCTTGACCTACTTGCTCTGCCCCGGTATAAACAGTTTGCTTGCTTAACACAATTGCTATTGCGCCATCCAGTGGACGCAATTGGAACAGCAGTTTATTTTATTGAAAAATTGCAGCGCATTTTTATACTTTACAAAAATATATATATTTTATTTTCAAAATCATCTCGCGGGCCAGATTAAACCCGTTTGCGGGCCTGATCCGGCCCGCGGGCCGGACGTTTGACACCCCTGCCCTAGGGGGTATTCATTGGTCGCAGACCATAGGAAAACGTTTGGCCTGTTGCAAACGGAAACTGTTTACTCTAGGAGCCAAAGCGAAGCAAACAGAACCAAACGGGGAGGGACCTACCCGAATTTGATCAATAGAAACTGTTGTTTTCGTTGCAAAACTGTTTGGAGTAAACTGTTTCCGTTGCACAGCGTTTGTTGCTACGGTCTGCGACTAATGAATACATCCCAGGCGTTACCTGGGTCATCAACCTAGCCATAACATTACATTTAGAAGGAATTCTCTCCTTCTAGTCGTAATTAACATATATTTGGCAACACGTGATCCTTGGTGATGTTCAAGTGAAACTATTTGAAAAACGTTCCTCTATCCAGACATGGAAGGTGTCGCTGGCCCACAAGAAATGACAGCAAATTGAGAAGATTTTAAATACTGCTAGTTATTAAAGGTAGACTCAGCGAAATGACGTTGCCTCAAGCATAACCGCAGATATTGAGATGCAGCACTTCGCTGTCACAGTCACACACAGAATCTGCGCATGTGCACAAGTTCGCTTCACGCTGTTATTGCGTGGTAGCCACGGGACCAAAACGGGAGAAGTTGAGCCTCACGCTTCAACGCTCTTAGTTGTTACGGAAATTGACCCACTATGGCTGCGTTTACACAGGCAGCCCAATTCTGATATATTGTTTCACTAGTTGGTATTTTGACCAATCACATAAGCTCTAAAAAAGATCTGATGTGATTGGTCAAAATAATTGGTCAGCCTATGCTGTTTACTTTCTGAATCTACGTCATATCGCTGAGTCTACCTCATGCTAGGCTAGCTAATGCTAAAGCAGCCCATTAGATTCCATGAAAACGCGATGCCTGGCGTTGGGGTAAGTACTGAGTAGCTGCCTGAAGAGTTCTGGAATTAAATGAGCTGCTTTTGCATTGGGTACCTAGCATGACGACGAAAAAGGCAGTTTAATGATAATTAGGACTATAGCGACACCTTCCATGCCTGGATTGAGGTACATTTTCAAACCATTTCACTGACGCGCACAGAGTTGATATTCTGGTATATTTGGTTTTCAAGTAGGGTCTGTGTATAAATAGCCCAGATACGATAACTTTTATATACTAGACTTCAAATACGAGGTTGGCATGTCATTATCAATCCGTTTGACATAAGTCTGTACCTGTTTAGCGACGTGTCCCACGTCAGAAGGTATAGCTGTAGACAGTTTTTATTAAATCGGCATCCCTTTCATTACCGAACACTGCACAATAAAGTATTCAATCCAGTTGTGAGTTGCTACCCCCTCCCCAAATCAAAATAAAAAATGTATTACATGTTATGTTCTCGCTTTGTGCATACACCTGTCTGTGTTTCACACCTGTTTGTTCTAGCTAATCAGCCTTGCAATACAGGTGCCGTGCTGCCCGTACTTAAAGTCTAGTATCTGGGCCAGTGAAGTATAAATGGCAAAGGAAACTAGCAAATAAAATAAAGTTAAGGAGCAACTTAGTTAGAATGAAGCTAACATACTTCAATCTCTCTCTAGAAACAGCTTGGCACCATAATGCACCTGTTGACAAAGGAGGCTGTTCGTAAAATCTGCAGACTATTCCTAGAGGTCTCTGCTGCTTTACAAAATGAAAATGAGAAACTGAAGATCAAGGTGGAGCAGATGGATAAAGATCTGAAGGGGATGGTTGAGGGGCGAGAAGAACCGAAAAGACCAACCCATATTCTGCACAATGGAAAGATCTTTAAAATTAAACCAGTTGGTGAGTGTGGGCCCAGCAACTAATCACTGTCTATTGACTATAGCAAAGGAAAGATGTATGGTTTGCTTGTACTGGTAGTTTTTGTCTTCCACCTGTTTGTAAAGGGATGTGATGCACAACAGCACAATGTTGTTCAACGCAAAGGAAATTCGACTTGTAAAGTTTTTTTCTGCTTGTTATTTAAGATCTCCCGATGATGCCTGTTAACAATGTGAAGACAAACACAGTGGCCTCAGCATTGCTCAGCATTGGAGATGTCAGTCAAGTAAACACTGTCATCGTACGGGAAGAGGTATGTTCTTGTAACTGTTATGTTCATTTTGTGTGTATGATTTTAATAAATCTGTAAAATGTCTGTGTATATTAATGCCTCTCCTCCATTCTAGACTACTGAGGGAAATACAGGCTGTAGCACCGACCCTGTGAAGGAGAGGATTGCGATGAAATCAGGCACTAAAACATCAGTCATTGAAGGTAATATCCCAAAGAAACATGTGTTCAGTCCTAAATGGCACCCCAGGGCTTGACATTCAGGTATTTGCTGTGCCAACTGAAAGCTACTGGCCCGGGCCAAGATCTTACAGGAAAGCGGATGATGCGCGCATAATTTAATAGCAGGTGATTTTATTTTTCATTTGCGGACTGAGCTTATAATAACCTACCCTCCATATCCAAACAATTACATTTTAACTTGACAATGTCATTTTTACATTGATTGTTTGGAGGGAAAAAATAAAACCTTGGCACAATCTAAAAAAAAAAAAGGTTGTTATTTTTAGCGATTTTTAACAAACACATGGTTTTCATGTGTTTGATGCCATTTCATTCGCTCCATTCCGGCCATGATTATGAGCCGTCCTCCCCTCAGCAGCCTCCTCTGGTGTACATGTGATTGCAGAGTTTGCTAAAAAAAAATGCCCACCTGATTGATATACAGTGGGGGAAAAAAGTATTTAGTCAGACACCAATTGTGCAAGTTCTCCCACTTAAAAAGATGAGAGGCCTGTAATTTTCATCATAGGTACACGTCCAATATGACAGACAAATTGAGGGAAAAAAATCCAGAGAATCACATTGTAGGATTTTTTATGAATTTATTTGCAAATTATGGTGGAAAATAAGTATTTGGTCACCTACAAACAAGCAAGATTTCTGGCTCTCACAGACCTGTAACTTCTTCTTTAAGAGGCTCCTCTGTCCTCCACTCGTTACCTGTATTAATGGCACCTGTTTGAACTTGTTATCAGTATAAAAGACACCTGTCCACAACCTCAAACAGTCACACTCCAAACTCCACTATGGCCAAGACCAAAGAGCTGTCAAAGGACACCAGAAACAAAATTGTAGACCTGCACCAGGCTGGGAAGACTGAATCTGCAATAGGTAAGCAGCTTGGTTTAAAGAAATCAACTGTGGGAGCAATTATTAGGAAATGGAAGACCTACAAGACCACTGATAATCTCCCTCGATCTGGGGCTCCACGCAAGATCTCACCCTGTGGGGTCAAAATGATCACAAGAACAGTGAGCAAAAATCCCAGAACCACACGGGGGGACCTAGTGAATGACCTGCAGAGAGCTGGGACCAAAGTAACAAAGCCTACCATCAGTAACACACTACGCCGCCAGGGACTCAAATCCTGCAGTGCCAGATGTGTCCCCCTGCTTAAGCCAGTACATGTCCAGGCCCGTCTGAAGTTTGCTAGAGTGCATTTGGATGATCCAGAAGAGGATTGGGAGAATGTCATATGGTCAGATGAAACCAAAATAGAACTTTTTGGTAAAAACTCAACTCGTCGTGTTTGGAGGACAAAGAATGCTGAGTTGCATCCAAAGAACACATTTACATTTACGTCGTTTAGCAACACCATACCTACTGTGAAGCATGGGGGTGGAAACATCATGCTTTGGGGCTGTTTTTCTGCAAAGGGACCAGGACGACTGATCCGTGTAAAGGAAATAATGAATGGGGCCATGTATCGTGAGATTTTGAGTGAAAACCTCCTTCCATTAGCAAGGGCATTGAAGATGAAACGTGGCTGGGTCTTTCAGCATGACAATGATCCCAAACACACCGCCCGGGCAACGAAGCAGTGGCTTCGTAAGAAGCATTTCAAGGTCCTGGAGTGGCCTAGCCAGTCTCCAGATCTCAACCCCATAGAAAATCTTTGGAGGGAGTTGAAAATCTGTTGCCCAGCGACAGCCCCAAAACATCACTGCTCTAGAGGAGATCTGCATGGAGGAATAGGCCAAAATACCAGCAACAGTGTGTGAAAACCTTGTGATGACTTACAGAAAACGTTTGACCTGTGTCATTGCCAACAAAGGGTATATAACAAAGCATTGAGAAACTTTTGTTATTGACCAAATACTTATTTTCCACCATAATTTGCAAATAAATTCATAAAAAATCCTACAATGTGATTTTCTGGAGAAAAAAAATCTAATTTTGTCTGTCATAGTTGACGTGTACCTATGATGAAAATTACAGGCCTCTCTCATCTTTTTAAGTGGGAGAACTTGCACAATTGGTGGCTGACTAAATACTTTTTTCCCCACTGTATCATACTGCCAGGCAGGCCTACTTTGCAGTCAACATTTAATTGGGACGTTTTTGGGGGAAGGCCTTTTAAATGACTGTTTCGGCATGCTAAATGGCTAAACAACATACACAGGCATTACTTCAGAAAATTGCAGGAAATACAAATCACTGATGCATTATTTTCTATTCATGAATTATGAGAAACTAGTGCAATTAAACACATTTTCGAATAAGTTAAATACATTTTTTGAATCTGTCCACTTCGGACCATTCAACCAAGACCTCGGACCAAACTTTTTAAATACCTAGTTTGCATACCCACCCATTCTTGCCTTGGCATTTACTGGTAGGCTAGATATCATAACTTGAAACCTATTTTCTACCACTTTCCTATGCCTACCGCTCTTCTGTGAGCTGCTCCAGACTGCTCGACAACCAGTTGTTTAAAAGCTGCTCGTTCTTGCTGCCCGGTGATATTCCGCTCAAAGTAGGCAGTGTGGCACAGTGTGCTAAATCTTCAGGAATGTGTCTGTTTTTTTCATCAATTAGCCTAGATTGAAAATGGCATTGTACAAAAACAAATTCACTGGCCCAAGCGGGCCACTGACATGGATGATTGACTAGCCCGGATTGTTTCCAAAACCTCCCCGGACCAGCGGGCAGCCATGTAAGTCGAACCCTGCACCCTATTCACTATATAGGGGTGCAATTTGGGACACAGCCATACAGTTGTTACTGGTACAATTTTGTGTTGTATTGAAAGATGGCTGTCAAACCATTCATTTACTGTAGTATAATGCCTGTATATTCCTCTCATCTGTAGGTGATGCGGAGGCTTACAGTAAACCGACAGAGACTTATCTTCTTCTCTCTGTGGGAGCCTCAAGTGGACTGAATACAAAGCCCTCATTTAGAGACACTGAATCCAAGGATGAACCTATGAGAACTGTTGTTCCAGAGGAAACCGACAGCGGGAGAGACAGCCATGAAAAAGAGACAAGCAGCAGTACTGCTAATGGGACAGGATCCACAGAAAACGAAAGCCACGGAATACAGCAGAGCATTTCCAAACCAAAGAAACCCTTCAAGTGTGACATATGTGAGAAAACCTTCCACGCGAACTGTCTGTTGAAACGCCATATAGCAGTCCACAATAAACCGAAGGGGCCCTTTAAGTGTGACATTTGTGAGAAAACCTTCCGCCTGAACTGCATGCTGACTCAACACATGCAAACTCACTCAAAAGAGAAACCTTTCAGTTGCAACGTTTGCGGAAAGAAATTCGGTAGTAAGACAAATCTGAAATCACATGAGTTTGTTCATGCAGAGGTGAAACCGTTCAACTGCCTCACTTGTGGACGGGGTTTCACATCAAAGTCCATGCTTGACGTACACCAGAGAGTTCACACAGGTGAAAAACCATACAGCTGTACTATGTGTGGAAAGAATTTCAGTATATCTCAAAACCTGAAAACGCATATTAGATCTGTACATATGGAACGTACAGAACGCCCACACCCATGCTCCCAGTGTGACAAGACCTTTTGGCGTCCTGCCGAATTGCAGGAGCACCAGGTAGTTCACACAGGGGAGAAGCCATTTAGATGTGAAATATGTGAAGCTACTTTCAGCTTTAAGGAAAACCTTACGCGACACCATCGAATTCACACGAAGAAGAGGCCGTACAAATGTGAGGTGTGTGGAAAGACTTACATTCAGTCCACCAATTTAAAAGCTCACATGCTAGTTCATGGGGCATTAAAACCATTTATGTGTGACATATGTGGAAAGACGTATCTTTACAATTATCAACTGAGAATTCACAAGCTATCACACGTGGCTAATGGAGAGGGGCACTCAAGAACCAGAAAGAACAAGGCCAACCAACAAAAACAAACCGACCAACCAAAACCCTTCAGCTGTGAGATATGTTTGAAGGGCTTCAGCTCCATCGGTTCTCTGAAAACACATGGAAGAATTCACACAGGAGAAAACATATACACTTGTTCCACATGCGGAAAGACTTTTCTCCATAAAGTTACTTTTGACTATCACCAGAAATTACACACTGGAGAGAAGCCCAATGCTTGTGGTTGTTGTGGAAAACGATTTATTACAAAACAATCTCTTAAGATACATGAGCTGATCCATACAGGTGAGAAACCACACAAGTGCAATGATTGTGGGAAGACTTTCGGATTTATCGGTAATCTTAAAAGGCATGAGCGAGTCCACACGGGAGAGAAGCCTTTCAGCTGTGAGGTCTGTGGGACACGATTCAGACAAGCCAATCATGTCAAAACCCACATGCAAGTGCACACAGGAGTCAGGCCATACTCCTGCGAGAAATGTGGGAAAGGCTTTTCTGATTCAAGACACTTCAAAAAGCACAACTGTGTCGGTAGCTATCGCAAATCTTCTGATCGCACTTTCAGAAGTAGGAAATGATGATGTTGCAACCTGAATAACTTGGACATCGAATAACTTGAGTGAAATGTGTATGAGTCTGAATACTGAAAGACCTTGATGTTTTTTTTAATGAGTGGATTTCCCAAATTATTCCATAATCTTGGCATGTAAATTATTTCTATACTGTGATGATCACATCCCTAATATTCATTGTTCAGTGACGCTTTCGTTCTAATAGACAAATCCATATATTAACTACACTCTTTGTTCTTTGAAATAGCCTTTTTGGGTAGTTTAATTGGACAAATAATTTACTATTTGATTGTCTGGCTTTATGAGATTCTTTAGGTGCAGGGGAGGATTAACAAATACCATTTATGCAGGGTAGAAACTACGAGGGTGTTTTTTTTATTTTAAAATTTTTTTTAACACAGCAGTCATTTAGGAAATTAACTTTACTGTTTCAAGGTTTTGACAAAAATAAACCTGAAATAAAGACAGTGATACTGTTACAATATTGTATTTTTGTGTTTCTGTTGTAGTCTTTCTTATTGAGCATCTCTGTGACTGTGCCTTCCACACTGTAGCATAGAAATCAAGTCTCCTCTCCAGAGTGTTGCCTCTTCTGGTGGCGTTTTCTGTCGTTCATTTGGGAGAAGCTTTGTCCACATTCTGAGCAGTGGTACGGTTTCTCTCCAGTGTGCATTCTCATGTGTATTGTGAGTGAGTTCTTTTGGAAAAATCTTTTCCCACAACAGGAGCACTGGAAAGGTCTCTCTTTATTATGGACCCTTCTCACATGACTCATCACATCACATGAACGAGAAAAAGTATTTCCACATTCCGAGCAGGGATAGGCTGCTCTTTCTCCAGAGAGTTTGAACTTGTGTGCTTTCTTGTGACACTTAAATGTTTTTTCAAGTGCAAAACTCTTCCCGCAATCAATGCAGTAGTACGGTTTCTCTCCAGTGTGTGTTCGCTGGTGCTCTTCCAACTGTCGCAAATTTGTAAAACCCTCCCCGCAGTCAGTGCAGAGGAATGGTATTTTTCCACTTCCAGTGTGTATTTTTTGGTGTCTTTCAAACTTTGCCTTGTTTAAGAAACACTTTCCACAGTCAGAACAGGGGAGTGCCAGGTCTACGGAATGTACTGGAAGGTGTAATCTTAGTTTTGCCATGTCAGGAAATCTTTTATCACACCTTGAACAGCGGTAACGTTTCTTTTCTTTGTGTGTTAGTTGATGTTGTTTAAGCCTCTCCTGTCTTGCAAAGCTTTTGTCACAATTAGAGCAGTGGTAAGGCTTTTCTCCTGTGTGTGTTTCCTTATGTCTTTTAAGATGATATCCGCGAGTAAAACTCTTACCGCAGTCGGAACAGTGGTGACGCTTTTCCCGTGGTGAGATCTTCTCTGTGTGTTTTAGCTGGTGCTTTTTCAAAGACCATAACAGTTTGAATCTCTTCCCACAGTCGGGGCAAAGGTGAGGCCTTTCTTGACTATGTACTTCCATGTGTATTTTTAGTTCTCCCGGTTCATAAAAGCTTTTATCACAGTAAGGACAATCACCCTCTTTCTTATGTGTCCTCTGGTGACTTTTCAGAAGATCTGAGCGGGTAAAACTTTTCCCACAATCAGGGCAGTGAAAATGTTTCTCTCCCGTATGTGTTCGCTGGTGTAGTTTAAGTTTATCCACTTTAGAAAAGCTTTTACCACAATAAGAGCACTCAAGAAGCCCCAAAGTATGTTTTTGTTGGTGCATTTCAAATGCATTTAACAACTGGAATCTCTTCCCACAGTCTGGGCAAAGGTATGGCTTTTCTCCAGCATGTACATGCATGTGTGTGTTCAGATCTTCTGGTTTGGAGAAACGTTCTTCACAATGATTGCAGTGGAAGTATTTCCCTTTCATATGCTTTCGCTGGTGGTGTATTTTCAGATCATACGACTGAGAATAACTTTTGCCACATTCAAAGCAGCGATGAGGCTTCTCTCCTGTATGTGTTCGTTGGTGTCTTTTAAGATGATAAACTCGTGTAAAGCTCTTCCCACAGTCGGAGCAGTGGTGACGCCTCTCACCTCCATTAGAACTCACAATAAGGTCATCGGAAGTATCATGATGAGGCTTCTCTCTTTTCTCCTGAGTTGTTTGGGGTAGTTGTCTTTCTGGCTGCTGATTTTTCCCAAGGTCAGCCACACTGTCTACATTTGCTGCACTGCTGGTAGCTTTGAAGGTATTCTCCAGCTGGTGTTTTTCAAGCTTCTCCAATAGGACAAAGCTTTCCACACATTTAGAGGAGAGAAAATTATGTTTGTCTTTCGCGTGTATTTTTTGGTGGGATTTAAGATTATCTAATCGAGCAAAACTTATTTTGCAATCAGAGCAGTGGTGAGGCTTCTCTCCAGTATGTGTTTGCTGGTGTCTTGTAAGATCCCTCACTTTTTGAAAGCTCCTACCGCAGTAGGCACAGTAGTGAGGCTTCTCTCCTCCAGGACTGAAATCCTCAATGAAGTCACCGGTATCTAGGGGCTCTTCTGCATTCTTCTGCGTTGTTTGGGGTTGTTGTGGTCTTTCTGAGTTTTGATTCTTCTTCTCTGATTGGCACTGGGAATTGGCTGGGCATTGCTGTTTGCGATGTGACAGTACACTGTTTATATTTGCAGTGTTGCTGGCAACTTTGAAGGTATGCTCTGGCAGGTCATGTTGCTTTTTCACAAGTTTAGTTTGACGAATGCATGTGACAGCTTTATCCAGTGTTAGTTCTGGGTCCATTTGTAATTGCTTGGACAGTCTTCTGTCACGTAAGCCTGCAACTAGTCTGTCTCTTATCATCTCACTGAGCAGAGCTCCATAACTGCAATGTTCTGACAAACAATGAAGTGCAGTGATAAAATCATCAGCTGTCTCTCCTGCTTCTTGTTGTCTTTGGTTGAATTTAGTTCGTTCTAATATTACATTCTTCCTAACTGCCAAATGTCCATCTTGCTTCTCATTATTAGAACTGTGGAAGTGTTCCCACTCGATCAGGTTGTCATCTTGCAGGTCTTCTGGGATGTCCATCTCCTCTGCCTGGAAATACATTTAAAATGTCATAATTACTAGTAGGCCTAGTATCATCTGTGTTCTCTAAAACAACATTCATTTTGTAATAGATAAAATAGCCTACTTTTCATTACGGTTAAAGTCCAAATTAGAATAGATAGCATATACATTAAATAGCTAAACAAATAACTGAGGTCGACATCTTTACAGTAGTAGCTCGGTCTAATCATTTGAAATACCTAGCAGTATCAACATGATAATGATGATTCATTTGTCATTAGGTCTAGAGATCACCATGATATAGCATATTGATTACATAGGCTTGTGACCTAGGCTAGAGAAGGTAGTAGTGGGCATTGCCATGTAAAAAGCCCCATGAGCATTAGCATGTGAAGTTCATAGGCGCACATCACATTTGGTCCCCAATAAAGCAGAGTATTTTTTATTTATTTATTTATTATTAAGCAATATATCAATTTTTCAACTATTTTCCATCCTAAAATTTGGAATAGCCAAAGGCTTTGATTTCTGGTCAAACAGATGGAAATGGGGTCTTAGAAAACATCTAGCCGAAAAAGTATTAAAAGGTATTAGAAATACATAAAAACAATAATGTTGAAGTAAAGACCCCTGCCAACTAATATCAACATTTAGACTTGCAGAAACAATTTGCATTCTGTAAGTTTAAGAAATATTGCCTAGTGTCTTGGATTCTGTTACCAAAAACCCACATCTTTAAAATATTTTATAATTTCTTTGCCTCATGAAGAGGGAGGCTAATGAACATTCACAGAAGTAATTAAAGTGCATCATTCTGTTGCCAAATCGGTAACAGAATGACAAAAAAATCAGTAACAGAACGACTGCAACTGAATTGGCTAAAATGGGAGTTCATAGTAGTCACAAACTGTCCTCCCTTCTGCTGGCATACTGTTATGTTCAGTTCATAACTGTTTTCTTTCTGTCACGTGGTGGTCAAAGCAAGAGTGTGACAATCTGGACAACCCCTCCCTCTCTGTCTTCCCTCTCCAGTTAATGTCACCTCTCCCGGCTCTTACTGACACCTACCCATGTGCCCCCGCTTTCCATTTACTGTAACCAGCCCTCTCACCCACTGAGCACCTACCAACACCGGAAGTCCATGGACATTGAAAAGTAGTTGAAATTTGGTCAGTCCAAATCTGAACCAATCATAGACTTCTGTTTCACAAGTTTGGACAGCACAGTACAGTAAAGAAAAGTAGGGTATAGGTCAGTACAGTATGGTACTCTACAATAGGTAAGTACTGTAGTGTACACTAGAGTAGAGTACATTATTTACTGTATTGTACTCTACTGTGCTGTACTCTGATGTCCAAACTTGTGAAACATAGATGTCTATGATTGGTAGACCTTTTATAAAATACAATTGATTGTTTCATTTTGTTTGGGAGCTCATAAGAATAATGTCTGGTTAGACTGTAAACTCTCCTTCCAGACTCACATTAAGAATCTCCAATCCAAAGTTAAATCTAGAATCGGTTTCCTATTTCGCAACAAAGCTTCCTTCACTCATGCTGCCAAACATGCCCTCGTAAAACTGACTATCCTACCGATCCTGGACTTCGGCGATGTCATTTACAAAATAGCCTCCAACACTCTACTCAGCAAATTGGATGTAGTCTATCACAGTGCCATCCGTTTTGTCTCCAAAGCCCCATATACTACCCACCACTGTGACCTGTACGCTCTTGTTGGCTGGTCCTCACTACATGTTCGTCGTCAAACCCACTGGCTCCAGGCCATCTATAAATCACTGCTAGGCAAATCCCCGCCTTATCTTAGCTCATTGGTCACCATAGCAACACCCACCCGTAGTATGCGCTCCAGCAGGTACATCTCACTGGTCATCCCCAAAGCCAACACCTCCTTTGGCCGCCATTCCTTCCAGTTCTCTGCTGCCAATGACTGGAACAAATTGCAAAAATCTCTGAAGCTGGAGACTCTTATCTCCCTCACTAACTTTAAGCATCAGTTGTCAGAGCACCTTACTGCACCTGTACACAGCTCACTGCACCTGTACACAGCCCATCTGAAATTAGCCCGCCCAACTACCTCATCCCTATATTGTTATTTAATTTGCTCATTTGTACCCCAGTATCTCTATTTGCACATCATCTCTTGCACATCTATCATTCCAGTGTTAATACTAATTGTAATTATTTTGCACTATAGCCTATTTATTGCCTTACCTCCATAACTTGCTACATTTGCACACACTGTATATATATTTATTTCTGTTGTATTTTTGACTTTGTTTTGTTTTACCCCATATGTAACTCTGTGTTGTTGTTTTTATCGCACTGCTTTGCTTTATCTTGGCCAGGTCGCAGTTGTAAATGAGAACTTGTTCTCAACTGGCTTACCTGGTTAAATAAAGGTGAAATAAAAAAATAAAATAAAATAGCCAGTCTATTGAATAATACCCAAACATGCAAAGGAGGATATTACATTTGTCTACCTTTGTGTCTATTCAGCATTTCTGTATAGTACAGATCAGGGACTGGGACCCATGATATCATTCTGTTACCGGGTGTTAATCCAATTCACTTACTGTAGTTCAAAAACCAAAATAGTTTTTTTCAAACTCAAGGTGTCATATCATAGCTCAAACGCATTGTTTCTGCAGACATCATTGAATATTACTTTGGAGTAGATATTTAAGTTTTAGGAAAATGTTGTCACATACAAAACGCAGGGAGATTTTACCATCATTCTGTTACCAAACTTTACATCTGCACTGTTCTTCGAGTAAATGTGTTTTTGTACAATTTTCTGTGGAAACTATTAAAGGAGTCCTTGTGCATAGCGCTGTATTGTTTGTTTAACTTTGCAATCAATGGTTA